TAGTTTGAATATCGAATTTTCCCTCCGTTGCCACGAACCACCGTTCACAGATGAAAAAATCGTGAACCGTAATACATCATGTTTTAGATTCAGTCTGTGGATTTCCGAATGTCCAAAACCAAATAGGTCGACAATGCACCTTATATTTTATCTTCCACCTAGTAAAGTCTACGCTTGTCCTCTTCTGTTATTAAAAACAAAGTTTACCTGTAATTTTTTAATATCAATTTCATAAAACTTGTATAAAAAATTACACTCATTAAAACCAACTTCAACCAAGTATGGTAAAAGGTAACCTGTAACATTTTTAATGAAGTATCACTCAAACTCCTGGCTTAAGATCTACAAATCGTCAGGTAAAATAATAATTTTCTAGCCAGTTAATTCGAATCAATCTGCAAGACAATATCATTTTTTTTATATGTATAGTTGAAAATTGTCGCGTTAACTTTAAGTCCCAAGTTACCTTTGTAAGGTACCTGTCTTCCCAAGTTATATACTTTTTAATCTAAGTCTTGTCGCGAGGGGTCAAGTGAGGTTGTTTCAGGACAAAAGGGTCTTGCGTTCACATACGCGGCTGAATTGCTTTAACACAGATCGCTGTTATTACTAAACAAGTAGAGACACTACCCCGACTGGTTTTGAGATTGTTCCTAGGGTCATAAAAGAAGCCATTATAATCATTAAAACTGGCGTTGCCTGAGGGTCCTAGCTGCAGTGTATCAGATGTATTTTCATTTTCATTGGAATTAATGGTCTGTTTAATATAATTTAATATATTCCATCTTTGAAGCCTGGAATATAATAAAAAGGATCTCGCTCTATAACTACAAAATTTTAAATCTTTTATTTCTTGTATATAAAGGTAACATTGGTATATGGTGTATAGAACTGTGAGTCTTGCAATAAAGAATTTAATAAGTCGTTCTAGAAAAGAAAAAACCCGATCGCCAGCCCCGCAGCAAAAGAGTGAAAGGTTTACTTTGAGGCGGTGCGCCGTGTAATCTGACGTCTAGAATATTACGTTTGTTCTTCTCATTTTCTTAAACATTCGTTAAGGCGTGTTTGCGAGACGAGATAACAACAGCGCCCTATAAAATGTGGTGTTGACACGACATAATCCCCCGTTCTTTATGTTGATACGTCGGCCTTAGTGCCTCGAAATGAGCCAATCGTTTTTCCTTTATTGTTGTTTTTATTAAAATAAATCTCCTAGGACAATTGTGTGGAATCCTAAAGCCTTACTCGATCGTCCAATCGACACAAAAATATTTTTTCAGTAGTTACTGACATAAGCGCGCGCTAACAAAGAAAACTCTTCTGCTTTATAATATCAGTATAGATATAGTTCCTTTTTTAAACATATGTATAATATTAACCTAACTTGACTCTCGTTTGAATGAGCAGAAATAAGAAGATTCGTTGGTACATACTACATAGTAGCTTCTCCATTGCGTAATTTCATATTAAAAATTACATCCGTAAACACGGAAACCCGATGTGGTTTTGTGGTAAATGTGAAAGCCGATCCTATATTGCACACGGTAACGACTTCCGATCCGGGGGGGCTATTCACGTGTATGCGGAAATGTTTTGAATATCGAATCATAAACTCTTTATTAGACATGTAGGTTAGCAAGAAAGACGTCTCCTTCTTGTACAGATATTGTTTGATTTGAAAGAAACAATATCTGTACTATTTTATAATTTGTTTAATATGTTGCCTCAGTGTATGTTAATAAAAGAATTCGGTGATAGAATTGCGTATTTTAGTGACTTGAAATGTTTAGTATAAGATTTCTTTAAGTATAAAAATCGTACTAGGCCTATTTTTTTTCAAGAACAAATCACGACGGTTTGTTTGTTTTGCGATTTCACCCTCCAAATAAAACTATTTTAACGGTTTAACGCGAAACACATTTTACTTGCCCGACGTTTCGGATGCTTCGCAGCAGCCATGGCCACGGGGTTTAAAATTATTTGTAAATAAGTTTAACTAATGCATTTCGCGTTTGAAATCGTTAAAAGTGTTTTATTTCAACGTGTACTACTCGCGTAAACTACTGAGTACTAAGTGCACTATGCAAGTCTAGACATTATTTCGATATTGCGAATAAACCCACTACGCCTTATCGCCGGCGAAAGCGAACAGATAACATTAGCGACAGGACCTGTGCGCGACGGCTCTAATAATCGTTCCCGCGTGTTATGTAAATGGCGCAGCAGAACTCCATTACATTTATTATTTCGGTTTCTCGTATATTCTCGTCCTTTGTGACGAAACATGTTTCACGATTGACGAGCTCTTCATATTGCATATTATGCTAATGCCATTCAGAATACGTTGAATAACAAACGTTGTCTTTATTCTTCTTTAGAAGTCTTATTTTCTTTTATGCTTGCTGTTGTGTTATTTCAGAAATGCTTACTGTTCGTGCCTGCAAAATTTAACGTCTAAAAAAACAATTCTCTAGACTGTATTTTATGTTAACACACAGAAAAAAAGATTTACATAATTCTCTGAATCTGTAATCCGTAATTTTTTTTTTTCAATATCAAAGTCCTTTTAAAACATGGTAGACCTGTTGAAAATTGAACACACGACACTTTCGATACCAATGCGTGGCTAACCCATCTACTTCAGCTGTTGTAAACTAAGCTGTGATTAGCCGTCAAATACACGACGGAATAATATGAAGCATTAGCTGTGCCCGCGATTTCGTCCGTTCGGAATAGTTATTTTTGGCATCATATATATTGTATCTTTTACATACAACCTCCACAACTATATATAGTGTTCTAGCTGTTATCAACGACGTTTTGTCCGCGTCCCTTCGTTTTTCCGAGTTAAGCTTAAAGGATAGACATATACATATACTGTTGCGGTTTTTTTAGACCATTTAAAGAAGAATCATTCTTTCATACATATTTTTCTGGCTTCTTGAACCGTTTAAGCACTGCACGCAGTGGAAGCCTTTAAAGATGAATAATTTTCCCTTTTTGTTTCACATTTTCTTCTGCGAGATTAGCGCTTTCAAACATCCAACTCTTCAGCTTTTAATATTAGTATAGATTTAAATATGTAGAACAGGAACACTGTTACGAGACCCGATGGGGCGTGAAGTGCGCCGGATCCGCGCGCCGTTGCTTTTCCTGCCATTGTCCTCTTCCGTACGACATTAGCATATGTGGATGCAACATATACTCCGATAACGCGCCCATAACTCTGCTGCGCCCCGCAGCCAGCAGCCGCTGCCAAGATTTTCTGCTTACATACGAGACTCGCCCAAAACCCTAATCGCACAAACTTGGAGATTTTATTCTGTTGACAATTCTATTAACTGTACCTACACCCACACAACATTTGTTTACAGTTTGTTTTGAAATGTGTTCAAGGAGTAGTCACATAAATGATACAAAACAACATATTAGTAAACACAGGAAATAAAGAAAATCAACATTGGTTACAAGCGAAATATTAAAAACACGCGATTTAGACCTTGAGGTATCTGCATCGTTTCGGTTATGTTTACTGTTGATGAGATTCGAACGCGACGTTATTCGTGCTTATAGCAATTCGTTTAACCGTTAAGCAATGGAGGTGGTCCCTACTAATTTTTATATACTTTGACACTTCGTTTAAATACTGTCTGTAGTTTTTGCTAGTAGTACAGTTAGTTAACTACAGCCTAACGTTTAGTTAAGAATAATTAGTAAGATATAACGCGTTTTAAACCGTTATGGTATTCTGCTGAAATACCTTCATTTAATCCCTTAATCACTGTTTAAAAAAAATACCAATATAAAATATTAGAGGTTTTAATTCGCTCTAGATTGTTTCGCGACCTCAATTCTGGATTCTGGTTCTATTGTACTAGGGCTTCATTATTTTTTAATGAGGCTGAAATATTTTTAGACAGGCGTAAACAATTACGGGCGTATTAATAAATGTGGCGTAAGAGGAGAGAATATCGTCGTTGTCGTGTCAGTTTGTAAGTTTTAAGGCTGCAAAGCATCTGAAGCGTCGGGCTGTAGTTAAAATGTATTGTAAATAAGTAACTAATACATTTCGCGTTTAAAACCGTTTAAAGGATTTTATTTAAATGTGTACTAATCGCGAAAAGTACCTACAGTCACTACTTCATGTTTTATTGTGAAGCCTAATGCGTGGAACTTTCCTTGCACTATTCAACTCTAATAAGGTTACTGTGAAAATTCCAAATGGAGGATCGCCTTAACAGAATGAAAGGCTAATAACTTCTAGTTTTATCTATAATGACTATCTAAGCGGCTTTCGCTTAATATAAATATAATTAGTATGAGTAGTAATAACTCGGCGCTAGTATGAGTTACAACTCGCTCGTCCACTCGCCAGACGTGCGAACATTAATCTTCATTTCACTCGAGACTCGATCACGTTATCCGCTCGGAGACAGTTCGTTAATTGAGCTAACGTCTGCTAATCCCTGCATATTGAATATGTTAGTGTTGAAGTTGCGACGAACATCTTTAATGGAACGTTAAGTCGTACCATGTAGCTCCTGTTAAGTTTTCTAGGAAACATTTTTGGGTACTGCTTAAGAAAAATAAGGTAAATTATTACTATGATAAATATGTTTGAAGGCTACAAATCCGCCCTAACAATCTGGTCTACATTATCCGCTGAGTCTCCTGAACAGATGGCACAGACCGATCCCGGGGGCCCCTTTATGCAGTACTGGTTTTTGCAGCGTTTGCCTCGGAAACCCATAATGATTAATAATTTACCCAAAAAATTTCCCACTTCTCGCCATATCTTCGCTTCCTCGGTAAATGCTCTTTTTCAATACGAAACCGTAGTTCCTGAGATTTTTCAGTTTTTGTTCAAACAAACAAAAAAACCCTTCAGCTTTATATATTATTATAGATACATAAATGATAAATGAACCAACTTGAATGACAACGTTGCAAAATACATTTCCCTCGGCAAATCCTCTTATTCATAATAATTTTCGTTGCAGGGAACAAAATTATGGATAATAATGGAGTACCTGGGCGGTGGGAGCGCGCTGGACCTGATGAAGGCCGGCAGCTTCGAAGAGATGCACATCGCTGTGATCTTGCGCGAAGTGCTGCGAGGCCTGGACTATCTGCACTCGGAGAGGAAGCTGCATAGGGACATCAAGGCCGCCAATGTCCTGCTCAGCGAGATGGGGGATGTCAAATTGGCGGATTTTGGTATGTATACAGACTAGGCTGCTTTGAACGTAAAATAAAAGTCTTTTTATGATAGAGGAGGACAGAACAGCGTGAGGTTTACTTGATGATACGTGAAATACATCATCAACATCAACGAGATGCGCTGTCGATATTGGCTTTGGATATTCAGAGATCCACAGACTGAAATCGAACCGTGAAACTTAACGGGTGGTTCCCTGTGACTGATTCTACGAGTATATTTAAGTTTTGTTGTTCGATTCACTAGAAGGAAGGTATCATAATTGTAGAAATAGGTTAAATCACATCTCAGAAATATTTTAATATTGCTTTTATGTTTCGACTACGACTTTAGATATTTAATTTGTTGAAAGTCCCTCTAACCAGTGCTTTGTATTAGGAAATAACCAAGCTTCCGCTCGCAGAGGGAAAATACATCTCGTTACGTAACGATAAGATCGTAATAAAGATAGTTTGAAACTCGATTTCTTCCAAGGTTCTCGAGCGGAAGTAATAACGTTATTGGACGGCGAATTCGCAAACTATCCGCGTAACTAATCCTCGGCTAGGATCTGCTAAAAATAACACCAAATATTTACGTTACCAACTTGCGTCATTTCATTACACGCGTTATGTTTCGCTGCTTTTTATACGATTTTCAATTGTTTGAATAGTTCTATTTGTTCGTTCGATTGATATTTTTTCATTGGGTTTTACGTAGCTTTAATTATCGTTTTGTGTCATTGTATTTAGATGGTACTACGTAATCGTTTGCTGTGAGAACTTTGCTTATAAAATTAAATTACATATACTCGTAATTGTTCTGCTGTAAATTGAATTACAGGCGAGGGAGCTTCTTAATTCCTACGTAGCTAGAAAGGTAATAAGTGTTTTTTTGGGCGCACTAACCAAGTTCGGGTTGATTAAACAAATAAAACCGAGAATAATGTAGCTTCTACAACATTATTTCATCAAGATGTCGTGTACGTTCAGGGGCTGGGGTCAATTTCTACCCTTTCAAGCCGTGACATAGGTACGACAAGAAGTCGGACAGTCGATAAATCCACCTCAAATCATAAATCACTATCCACCAACGTCACCAATTCAAAGACGGAGCGCTGCACCTCTTCCGGGATGAAATCACCGAAGCGCGAAGATTGATCGCTAAAACTGTTCTTTGTTACGACACGTTCAAATCGATTACGATTTAAAGCTTCCTTATAAGTTTTTAACAAGTCCTCAAAGAGTAATCTTTTGATAGTTCTCTAGTAGTGCTCCTCCGATCGAGTTTGGGCTGTTTAGAACTTACGGTGATGACTGTACTAGCTATAAGAAATAAATAGATTCTTAACATTATTTCTTTTGTCTGTGATGGTGAAGGTGTTAGGCGTATACATACATGCGTATTAACCCTAGGACTAGACCAATAAGCATGTCGAGGAAAACAGAGAATTGAACGAAATATTATTTAGAACTAAAAATAATTCATCGTGTTTCAGAGTAACTCTATCATGCAATGAATGAGTTTTATATAAACTGGCTTTTTATTTAAAGAAGTAACGAGTAGCTTTTTATTTTTTTTAATAAACATAAGAATTTCCTTTCAGTTTAAATAGAGTTTTCTATAGAATCCGACATGTCCCAAGGGTTCGCTTCGAGAAAATGTGCTTACGTTAATACTCGGAATAAGGATTTAAATTTTTACTTACTTCCATAGGGGAGTAAGTAAAAATTCTATCCACAAGAGTATAGACTCTTGTGGTTAGAAATGGTCGGTAATAATGCACGCGTTATTAATACCTTGAAGCTAATTAAGACTTTCTAAACGCTTCTATTGTTTACAAATAAGAACAATTAATGGTTCCAAGAATAGAATTCACTTCAGAGCAATTACAATTACTGCCAAAATAAAACGTAGTACCGTAGCATACATATAGAATTTAGAAGTTATACTAAATTAGATATTTGCAATTTGATGACGTAAAACGAAAGAACACTTGATAATTTAAATTTTTTTTTCAAGCAGCAAGAGCAGCGTGCAGTACTGAAATTGGTTGATCGGTTTATAATTCGACTACGAATGTCGAAAATATTAAAACTAGCTTCGTGGTTTGACACCTTTTAGTAACACCAGTTAGTCTACTTTAATTAATTGACAGGACATAACACAGAGTATATAAATATACACTTATAAACCCACAGATGGCGTTGATACTATGATATAATATTTCGTTATATAGTTACAATTAATTCGCAGCAGAAAAAATCGCATTCGACTCGATCGTGTTTGACGCAAATAGCGTCTAGATATTCGTCGAAGTAATTGTGTTTGCAGACGCTCCAAAGATGCTCCGAGTGTGATGAAAGTCCGCACCATCCAATACCCTTCAATTCTCTTCAATTGGTCCCGTCCTGGCTGTCGGCCAACATTCAATATTTGCGCCATTTTGGGACAGTGTGTACAATACATCACCCCGGCGTGTAGCGTCCTATTTGCAACTTGTTAAGTGCTGGCACCGCGCTTCAACTTATTATGCTTGAGGAAATAAAAGTTTGCCCGCAATCGCCTTTGTGTTATGCGTCGGATGTGTTTGAAAGTCGGCTTTATCGCTGCCTTTGCTTCTCCAAGACTTGCAGCTATTCATATTCATTTTCAGATTGTTGTAAGCTTGTTGTCGACGTTCAATTAACTTATGTCCTTTACTGAAGAAAGCCACTTTAAAATAACATATATTGTAATGTATATTGTATTGTAAGTAGACTTTAGTGACAACTTATCTATCTTCTTTGTTAAATATATGTTCGGAGCTGAGTTTTAATAGTCATTTATGGCTACTAAACAACGTGGGTTTGATCTCCACTTATATGTCAAAAAAATTATATGTTTCTAATCAATTTATAACAGATTGCATTTCGTCGGGATATCGGAATATCGAAATTCCACAGGTGACAAAGCCGTTGTAGTTTAATCGCGTTTCGATAGCAGCCTATGGATTTCCGATTATTCAAAGTCAAAATAGGTCCACCGCGCATTTTGTTAAGATGGCTGTCCGTTCTCTATCACTAAAAAGAGTTAAATATATACTAAAATGCCTTTTCACGGTCTATTAAAACCTTTTATGTCTTTCGACGTGCAAATATGTCCTGGCTGTCCGGCTTTTGTTCTCCGCAATAGAATGATAGTACATTTTGTATGACCATCATGAAACAATGCCTTAATATATATCGTAGCATACATGTTTTTATTTAAACAAAATGTTCGAGATCTTTTATCCGTTCTTGTTTTTAACGTTTATTCTTGTTTTGAAAACTGATGTAGGTACGTAGTAAATTTATAACATCTCACAAGATATATTAAAATATAATAATATTTTATTTATTCTTTGGGTCATTTGAGAGCTCTCATTAATGGATTGGTTTTTTTTACTTCAGGTGTCGCCGGCCAACTGACGAACACAACGAGCAAGCGGAACACATTCGTCGGGACGCCGTTCTGGATGGCCCCGGAGGTGATAAAACAGTCCTGCTACGACAGCAAAGCGGACATTTGGTCGCTCGGCATCACCGCAATAGAGCTCGCGAAGGGGGAACCCCCCAATTCCGAACTCCACCCCATGAGGGTACTTTTCCTAATCCCCAAGAACAACCCTCCGCAGCTGACCGGCAGTTATTCGAAGCCGTTCAAAGAGTTCGTCGAGGCGTGTCTCAATAAGGACCCGGAAAATGTATGTAATCTAAATGTTTGTGGCTTTTTTTGGATATCCTATGAGATTCGCTGACCAGTACCCTGTGTTACCGTTTCTTTTGGAAGTAAAGAGTTTTTACTGGATTAAGATTAAATTAAATTAATATAATTAAAAAAAAACTTTATGCCGTAGCAAACTGACTACAGAAATTTGACGTTATTTAACCAATTTAATGTTTTCTTACATATCTGGTTTGGTGGTAATATGGTAACATTTAAAATCTAAAGAGTAAATATACTTCGAAAATTCATGAAGTATTGTAAAATATAAGTGTAAAAAAAAAAAAAATATTTTAAAATGTTTTAGAGACCCACAGCAAAGGAGCTACTGAAATTCCAGTTTATCAGAAAGGCAAAGAAGAATTCATATCTCATGGACCTTATAGACAGGTATAAGAAGTGGAAGTCGCAGAGGAGCGAGGAAAGTGAGACGGAGTCTGAGAATTCTGACTCGTGAGTATAGCCTTTATATAGCTTTTATCATGGTTTTCTGTATTTTGAAAGTCGACGTAGAGAAGAAAATATGAATAAGATGAACTAATCTCAATTTAACATTGTTGTGTTTACATTTTTTCAAATAAGCATTCTGAACTTGACTACAAAACATACCTAAATATAAATGTTGAATTTAAATTACCAGCCTAAAAGGTTGCTAAAACACCATTTGTATGTATTTAAAAAGGTAACTAGTAAAGTTCTAATAATGTGATTCCAGCGAGGACATAAGCCGCGGCGATAGCGAAGCGGACGAGCCTTGGATAATGACGGTGCGTGGCGCTGGCGGGGCGAGAGCTCTTCATGCGCACGCGCTCGCACACGCACCCTTACATGTGCCCGTCAATGACGAGGACAAGCGGCGCAGTGTACACGAAGAACCCGGTAAGTAATTACAATGTGCTGATGACGCAAAAAGTAGGTAGTAAAATGTCTATCGAGTAAGTGACCGTTGCAAATTATATTTGCAGTTATTCCCTCGCCAACTTCGCCCGTGGCACCGAAACAGAATGGATCGTTGAGCGCTCGTGGGGACGAGTCCCCGCCAGACACCAAACCAGTGCTCAACAACAACACACATGAGAATAATCAGACGGTATGTTAAATATTAATACACATAGAACATTATTTTATTGAGTCTTAATATTATACAAAATATATTTTCATCTCAAATATTCAAACAGTTTTTAGAGCTCCTATGTGGTGTTAGCCTAGGTATTCTTGGTTCAGCAATATATAAATATTATTGTTTTCCCAAATCTATACTTTTTAATATCACAACTGAAAATATTTCCCCTGGCTCTAAAAATAAAATTTGACAAATTTCCTATTTACTACATGTTTTATAACTTTACACAAGTTAATATTTTTATCTTTTCATAATTTCAGTCGCGACAAACACCGATCGTATCAACGCCGGTGGAGCATAAGAGCGCGAAGGAAAGAGATAGAGAACGCGAGCGGGATAGAGAAAGGGAGAGAGCGGAGCGAGATAGAGAGGACAGAAAGGAAAGGAACGAGAGAGAGCACGCGACCAACAGAGATAGCGGCGTCTATAATAAGCCTGTTAGTTGAAATCTTTCATTGTTAAAAAAGAGGATAAAGTAATTTGAACTTCCGATAATTGTTATAATCAATTCTCATTTGATAAGCTACGCTTCGCTTAATTTTGAGCTGCAGGCACGTACACTGTAGCTCAATTTACCAATTTTAGCAAAATTTACAAATTATTGCTTAGCATTACGCTAAGGTCAGCTCAGCTAAGTCCTGGGTTAGATTCGGGGAACTATGAATAGGTTCCATCGGGCACAGCACAGCTCTCTGATGACCTACTTACTCTACTATAAGTACTCTGATAGCAGTGAAGCGAATACAGAAATATGCTCGCCCCATGCCCCACATTAGGAAACGGGACTTACTAATTAGGGTTAGGGGATAGAACAAATGTCAGTTCACTATAAAAACACGTAAACAAGATGCTTGCCCACTGTTGTTAAATGTTTGCGTAAAAAATGTAATTTACCACAATAAGCATACTGGTTTGTCGCCAGACTAATATAATATTTACAAGGAAGTACTAAATACTGTCTAAAGTTTACGCGAGCAGTACACATTTAAATAAAACACTTTAACGGTTTAAAAATCATTTTCAAATAAGTTTAACTAATATATCGCGTTTTAAACCGTTAAAGTGTTTTATTTAAAGGATATTGTTAAAATTAAAAAAAAAAATTAACGACTTAAAACGCGATGTATATTAGTCAAACCTATTTGGAAAATATCTTAACTAGGGTCCGGCGTTATTAACCGTAAAAGCGTTTTATTTAAATGTGCTTGCGCACACTACAGACAGGAAGTATCGTATTTGGCGCAATTAATCCGGTTCTCTGGAGTCACTAGATGTAAATCCCATTATTTCTGAATTTCAGGCATCACCGCTAGATCACAGAGGGCCAAATAACGAAGAGAACAAGGTGCGACGGCACGCGTATCTGCAGCAGCTGATCAACCCGCTACTGAATGAGGTACATGCTTGTTTATTCAAGATCTAGGCAGAGTCTACTGGATCTCTGTTGCTCTATTCGATTCCCGACAGGTTTATCACGTATCTAAAGTAAATTTTATCGAAAACATTTTGGACTTCGTCTGCAATATCCAGACATTGAATTGGTGCTAGAATTATAGAAATTTCACGTAACAAGCCCACCGTCCAGCCTTTTTCTAATCAATTTATATTTTTTCTAAAACACGCTGGTAATCGTCGGCATTTCTTAATATTAAATGTGTAGTAAGAATATAGAAATTCCGTTCGGGTTTCGAATATCCACAGATAAAAGTCGTGACGTTTAATTGTATTTCGGTTACAGTGTGTGTATTTCCGAATATCCAAAGTCATAATAGGTCGATAGCGCATATTGTTTTAGATAGTATAAGCTGGGGTATTTCACCCTCATTATGTAATCCCCATTTGCTGTCCTCTGCCATGAAGTTTCGTCTCAGATACATTGTCTAATTTTCACTTACGATAGTACATTGTAAGTTGAAATTTATATTCATTTTCAAGACATCAATCTCTTCTCCTTAGTTATCCCGCAAACACGGTCCATCGAGCGTTGCCGCCATAGAGGAACTGCGACGCGCTTTCGAGGTCGCCGAGCGCAGCGCACCACATCTCACACGAGCTTTTGTGCAGCAAGTAAGTTTTGTAACTTAGTATTCCTCGCAGTAATTTTTCCTACTATAATAAATTACTCTTTCACTTATCAATATAATAAGTAGTGTTAGTACTTGCCGAACCGCCCGTGTCGTCATTTTTTTCAATCTAAAATCGATGTTTAAATTTTTATACATTATTTTTAATGGTCTTTCGAAATTTACGGTCTTGCAATTCGATAATCTGTGTAGATTTAAAACGTAAACGTAATACGTTTCTGGAACCTTAGTCTCGAACCAAGTAAGAAAATAATGTTCGTAATTGATTTACAGGTAGTGCAGAGGGTCGCGACGCAGAGCCACGCCCCTGCGCCGGCGCACAACTCGCACCACTCGCACTGGATGAGGTAGGTACTGTATCCCCTTTTATCTCTACTTACTACTATTTTATTAACTTCCATGAATATTTTTATAGAATGTTTCAAATAGATATGGTCTTCTAAATTTTTTTTTTGTAAATAAACGATTTCACGATAAATTCGTTGAGATTATGGCAGACAGGTTTGTATATTTGATCAACTTTCTGTTCGCTTTTGGTCCAAAACTTTATTTCCCTGGGATTTCAAACGTTTATTGCTACTAGGCTTAACTATTAAGGAACGGAAGTGGTCAATAGCGATGTAGAATAAACACTCTATAGACATTGAGATTTGTAATTAGAAGAACAGAATATTTTACATGTTAATTATATTCGGCGTTTTTATAGCTTTCAGTTTTATACCGTTAATTTTTTTATTTAAATGTGTCCTGTGTGTTTATACTATACATCGAATTTTATATTTTACAGGGACACATAACCTGAAAATGACGGATGCATCTATGTTGCTGTGCTCTAAGCTTCCTTCTCGCGGCTACACTTCGTCCCTATATACTAAAATATGTTTACCCTATGTGTAGTAGGCCGATGGTTATGTACTATCTATTTGTAAAATGTTTTCTAGTATTCACATGTGTTGTCTTTAATTGTCATTCTAGGTAGGTTTAAAACTATACTGTTTAATTTTTGTCTTATTCATTATTATGACATCGCTTTATGTAAAATAGCACCTTTTCCTTCAATACTAAAAAAAAAATATATGTTAGAAAAGACAAAACCTCTAATTTACGCCAGGAGGAGCTCTGGTAAGGTTGTGTTCATCGCAGGTTTGAGTCCTGTCTGTATAATTTTTAATAATCATTTTAATTTCCAATGTTACAAAACCTATTTTATATATGGTGAAGTTACATAAGGTCTTTGTGTGTTAATCTGTTTTTGTCTATTTTAGAACAATTTTAGTTGTGTGTCTACCTTTGTCTTCCTTAATGCAATATTTGTAAGCGAATTTAACACGAGTGTAGCCGCACTCGAGTCACAAAAGTTGCAATGCCATAGAGAAATAACGTAATCAATACCTTAAGATTCGTACGTCTTACACCAAATACACGATACTTTTAGCCACGTCAAGAGACAAACTGAATAAACTATTGTTTCTGAGGTGGCCTTTGTCTGCAAACATGTAAATATTGAAAGGGCCGATGTCTGTTTGTATATTGTTTTCGTTTTCAATTCTGTGGTAACTGTATAGGATGTTTCACAATTTATTCATTACATTTTATTATGGTTATTGACGTTCTGTTAAATTTTCTTTTTGTCGCAAAAGCGTCTGAATTATTCTTTTTCATCTCAAGTCTACATCTTGAAACATCCTGTATATAGATTCCGTCACTTAGATTAATCTGTATCGTATATTTGTCATCTATGTAAGTCCGTGGGACTACGCCAATATTTTGCCATACGTTTGTCTAAAAATTATTTCTACTAACCCCATCTAGCGGTTTTGGGTGATATATTTTTAAAAATTCTTACGTATTTTTATTATTAATGTGTATTGATATGTTTCTATTGAATTTTTCGCTAGTGTTTTTAGGTACGTGGTTTATCGGGACGCTGTGGTGATGCGAAAAATTTGGCAATACCTGCCTCTGTCTTTTAAAGTTGAATAGAGAGTATTCATTATTGAGTATATATTTTATCCTGTGTCTTCAAATACTGATCAAATATGTGTAAAAGAGATGAAACTAAATGTGTCAGCTACGACTTTTTCTTATCTCTTTTCAATTGTATTCGGTAAATAGAGAGCAATAACGCTTTCGCGTTGTTATAGTCGTGTAGTGGATTGAGATCGGTGTCCGTCACCCCGGCGTCCCCATAATAACGGCGCTTAGTGTCATTCCAGACAAAAGACAGAATTGTCAGCATTTATAGATATTATTATTTCCTCATTGTTGAAATTACGTCTTGATTCACTGTGGTGACGCACTGTGACCGTTTAAGAGAATTGTTATTATTTTTTCATAGTCTAGTTTCGTCACTGAGGCATATGGATAGGGATAATCGAATCACTCGTTGCATACTAATTTTCAATTAATTAGGGGAGGTGATAACGTATCGTGAATTTAAGTATTAACGGCGCACGAAACCGTTCGGTGCCTGTGTAAACATGCTTATATATGCGACAATATTTAGCGATTCGAAGTTTAGATTTATATATTGAAGACTACGAAAAAAACAACTATTATTATTGCTGTGTAACATATGTAAACCAATATAAATGTGTAAATTGTGTAGTATATAAAGAGAAGCTGTTTATGAAGTGTTCTTATAAGCGTATGGAGATAGTATATTAGCAATAATACGCGTCGCGGAGGAGGCGCGGCTTTCGTCGTGAGTACGGACGAGGTGTTGGCCCTAAATGTCACGAGTGAAGAGCGTCGATTGATTTGCAATGTTGCCGTCCCTCTTTCACGACGCGTCTCGCCTTGTATTTTGTTTTGCCATGTGTGTCCAGCATGGGAGATGTTATGTTAATTTTGTTTGGAGAAAAATCAGAAAAAAATAATATTTTTCCACTCGATATTAAAGCGTGTAGTGTTAGCGATGGGCGGATAATTGTTGATTATTGATTAAAATTAGGGTGTTTGTGGCGTTGGTAGTGGATTTGACGTCGGCGCGGGACGGGGCCCCGATGACCAATAACTAAACGCTTTGTAATATAGTAATTGTTGTTGTCTCGCTTGCACTGATTGCCGCTCTGAACTACCGTCTTCCTTTCGATTGTGCGAGAAGGATGAATATATACGAAAAGCCGCAGTGAGTGCAGGACGGACGTATTCTATCGTGTGTTGATGTGGGGCCCCGCTCAGTAGTGGTTCGTAGTTGTTACCGATTTCGCAGATCGTCGAGCGTCGTTCGGGTGTATGCGAATGCGCTTAGTTGATAAATATTAAATCTATATTAATTGAAGTCAATATAGTGCTACCGGCGCGAGTCGTGCGTCACTCTACCGCTGCGGGTATAAACATTCTTATGAAACATCTGTAACTGTGATATTAATAAGTGTTTTATACGGGACGTTGCGAAATACATGTGGCATGCGCATGCGCTGCGGTGCGGTGACGCGCGGATCTGCGCCAACAGTATGCCTAGTGAGAGTTTCATAGTTTATGAAAACATTGGAAACTGTTGTATTTCTAGATTTTCCAATGTTTTCGTCCAATATTATTCTCGCACTAGGCCCACAGATAAAGAATAAGGCCCTCCACTGATGCACTTTAACATCGCGCGTACCATTACTCCTTAGTGACCGTCGAATAATGTTTTGGCGTCTGTCGTTCTAACACGTTTATGTAGGCAACAAATTTGACTCTGAAATAAAAGAAGTTATTTAATTTTGCATGCCTTTGTTTTATTTATCAGCGGCGTCTTTTGGAAATTTGAAAAATGACATTGTCGACTGCTAAAATTGCTTTGGTCTGACTCGTATAATTTATTCGTTGGTACGTTTAAATCAAGTTTATAAACAGCTCTATTTATTTTTATTACAGTGGATAGACAAGCAAAGGACTTGATGGAAGTTGAAATCTTCCAGTTATTATATGCCATCTAATCACGATGTGCTGTCGACCTTTTACTAACATAATGTGTAAAAAAAGTATTAACGAATAATTAAGACCATATAATTCTTTACCTTTTATTGACTAGTATATCATACGTTTCCAGAAGATTAAAAAGTTCTAAAAAATCTACCTAATAAGATACAAAAGCAGATACACCACAATTTAATTACAATTACAGTCTTTTGGGACAGATCGAATGAAACGTATGATCGTTTTATGTGATGTTAACTTAACAATTACGCGTTTGTTATTAACTATATAAAAGTACAATACAAAACTTACGATTATGTTAGACAATTAAATTAGGGTTAACGGAATATTTACAATACTATCAATATATTCAAGTACAATGCAATCATAGCCTACTTTTATATCTACAACACAAACACAACATCTTGCATAAATAAAATTGTAGTATATAACAGATAGATGGAATCAGTATTGAAAAATATGGGAGATTTGAGCAATAGTTGCATATTGTTTTATCTATGGCAGGAATTTAGGTGCTTTGACGCACAGATTAAAAATATGTTACCTTGAGGACGTAAAACTTTCGGTAATTAGGCGGTATCATATTTCAAGTATACCAGTAGTAGTGGTATAAGTCAGCCATTTTGAATTCAATAGTATGTTTGATTTCAAAATGGCTGACTTAAAACTTTTTACCGCTAAGATAAAACTGTAATTATTTGAACATTGTGGGTAAAAATTCCACGTCTTACGATAAAGAATAATCATGTATACCGTAAAAAGATTTATAGAACCTTGTACAATATCGAAAAATCTTAACTATCGAATAATGTTTTAACGATATTGGTAACATTAAGCCATTGTTATAAATCAGCACTCACACCTACCATCTCGTGTGTCAGAGTTCGCGCAGTCCCGTTAGTCACATCAATACGAGTTTTGAGACAGCCCACACAACAGTGGGTACAAGTAATGCCTTTGTAAAATTCGCCTCAGTACCCCACTTTAAACTTTCACGATATTGATTCATGCGAAATGATCATATCTATTCCTCCTATAAGTAATTGATGGAACTAATGGAAGCCTTTTAGACGGCGAGACCAATTTGACACCAGATTGTTATCTAAAAATTGAAATATCTCGTATACCGCACATAAATGCTAAAACAAATCTAAAGTTACTGAATAAAGAACTTGAATGGATTGGAACGCGATAACTTCGTGACGACGAGGACGACTTTGTAGTTAAATACTGTCTATAGTTTACGCGAGTAGTAAACATTTAAATAAAACACTTTAACGGTTTAAAACGAGATATATTAGTTAAACTTATTTGAAAAATGATTTTTAACTTCGGCCCGACGTTTCGGATGCTTTGCAGCAGCCGTGGTCACGGGGGTCTCCCCATTCTTCAAATAAGTTTAACTAATATATCGCGTTTTAAACCGTTAGTGTTTTATTTAAATGAATTTGTAGTTATTAAAAAAATGAAAATCAATACATGCCGTTTTTATTCAGTTAAGTTGTTTCATTGTAACTGAATTTCTTGAAGTTATCAGTTGACACTTCTAGAATGCAAATAAGGACTTACGTTATCTATATTAATTCGAATATTCTAATCATGGAATTAACAATAAGCACCGCATCTTAAGCTAACATTACACATACTCAAATAACTCGCGCTCTCGAGATCCCTTATCAAAGGCGTCGAGTTAAAAAAACTATAAGCGATGGAAACCCATGTTCTCTAAGTATGCGTCAACCGTATTTACTATAGGACAAAATCAAATACGCGATAACGAGTGAGTCACACCTTAATCATCTTAAATATCACAGTATACGCATTACATAATATCAAATACATGGCTCGTTGATCAAACCGGACGATCGCA